ATAATCGAGGTTTGATGGTGAAAAAACTATTAATAGTCAATAACTGTCATGCCTTTGAAAAGATTGTTTGCTTTACCTTTTGGTGTCAGTTTAAGCCTACTTTATTTCTGCTTATCTGTGAGCAAATGAGGAGAAAAGTGCACATAAATATTCCGGTTAAGGTGATCTATGACACCTTCGAATAAATGCGTAAATATCAACATCTTTTGTATTTATATCGTTCACTTTCATCAATCAATGATTTGATGGTGTAACAATTTACTAGATTTAATCATTTCTGCCCGGTCAACTAGATTTGGTCCTCGACTGCCAAAGAGATAACACATAAAGACTACTATCTAAAACATAAGTGTTATTTTCGTTAAAACAAAGTACATGAACCCATAACACGTCCGTTCTGTTTAATATCATAAGAATTGTTCCATGAATAAGAACTTTTTTGGATGATATTATTCTTTGTACGTAAATCGGTAAATAAAAAAATAACTCGATCTATTGAGTGTAATACAAAACCCTAGATCACACAAAGGAAGTATGATATATGTTTACATTAACGTTAATGAATCAGAGTTTTGCAAACACTCTAGTGTGTACATGTATAAACAATACAATTGGCACGTGGTTGGCACGTGGTTGAAAATTTGATAGTTTTGTTTTGAAAATTTGGTAGCTTTGTTTTGTATACGTATTTTATACCTTTGTAACTTTGACATATCGAATGCAGTGTTTAACACCGAAGAACTATGACAATAATCGAAAGTTTATAACTTAACTAACTAAACAAGGTATTTCTTACTTCTTTTTAAGATACGCTCACTTATTATATAAGAACAATATAGAATATAGTATATATTTAAGATATCATATAATCTGGTGCTTTTGATATTGTTTTTGAAACTGCTAATAATGTAACTACTTTTAAGATGAACTTTTATTAATTGTATTGTGCCGATATATGGCGGATAAATGAAGGCAATAAGCTTAAGTATAATGAAGTAATACAAATAAAGGAGAATATCCAATGCATGTGTTAAACATTTACAGAAAAATAGATAAATGTCTTAAGATAATATTCTGGGATAAAATTAGTCTTTGGTCTCTAGATCAAGCAAATGTAATACAAAACCCTAAATCACGCATTGGAAGTTTGGAAAATTAACCTTTACTTAAATAAAAAGTCGGGCTTTGGAAATATAATTGTTTATACATGTGTTTACAGTACAATTGGCACTTGATTATATCTAAATTAGATATTCCTATCCCTTGAACGTTCTGCACTTTTGTAATAATTCGTTTAATCTTCCACGAATTAGAGCTATTTTTAAGATAATATATTTTTTGGTACGTAAATCGATCAACAAGAAGGTTAACTATATACATGTTTAGCGAGTGTAATACAAAACCCTAGATCACGCAGGCTTGGTATGACACATTTATCTTTACTTTAATAAATTAGGGCCATGGAAATATAATTGTTTATACATATGTTAACAATACAATACAAGGTTTACACATGCAATACAGATTTTTTTTGAATTTTGTGCCAACAATTAACTATTAATATATATTTACTTCTTTTGTATGTATGCGACATTAAAAATTCTTTTACAAATGTCTTACTCGATATCTATTTAACATTTTAAGTCACTGCCTACTTTGTAATCAAAATGTTTTAAATGATCAAATCGATACACAGCATAATTACTTCTTTTATTCCCAGGCAATTGTATTTATCGTGCGACAATAAACAGAGTAGAAGTCTAAGTGGATATAACGCAAAACAATTCAATGCTTTATGTTATCTAAAAATAGATCAGAGTTTAAAAAGAAGTTAAATTGTTAAATTATTGAAACAATTTGTTATCTCAATAATATCCATTATGTTACTACAATCATCTTTACAATAATGGCAAATATTTTAGAATTTTAAAATTTAAAGAAGCATTGAGTTTTGCACACGAATATCAATATATGTTTACTTAAATCAATCGATGTAAAGGCCAAAATTATAAATTTAAGTCCATTTGATGTTTTTACTACCTTAAGTCTGTTAAGAGAAGACCTTGATCAATATGTTTAAGTTTCCGAAAGAGTTTGAGAACGTTACTGAAATAAGCATTTCACAAAATGCTAGAAATATCCTATTACCTGGGTATTCAAAATATATTTCTTTCATAAAATATATTTCCTACTGAACAAAATAGTTAATCTTTCTTCTTTACATGAAGAATCTTAACAGATCGGTTTACACCGAGGTTTTTTGACATTACGGGACTGAATATATTTTTGTCAGATAAATTTATCATTTGATGTAGGTTTAGACCACTTATCTTTGTTCAAAATTTCAGATCATTTGCTCACTTTGTTTCTCCAGAATTATTATTCAAATTATAAAAAAAAGACCCAATATGAAAAGCGTTTAAACGCTTTTCACTCAAATCGGGCTAAAAAGCGAAAAGATACGATTTTCAATTTATTTCGAAGTATAGTTTTAACTATTATTGCATATATTTCTGTTTAAAGTTCCCCAGCTGATTTATGTAAGAAATTCAAATGTTATTTTTAGGCTTTTAAACCTCAGTTGAGTCCTTTTAAAGGGAACCAAATCCGGTGAACTTTTCACATTGGCTTCGAGCTTTGTACATGAAGATACTACATATGTATTTAAACTCTAGATAGAGATAGCCTGACAACATGGCGGGTGGCGTACCCCGTAGTCGCTCCTTTTTTTGAGATATTTTTGTCATCATTTTTTAATCATGTGGTATTAGATTCTCCATTTATTCTGATTGACATAGCATAGAACAGACGGTGAACGGGTAGAAATAGCCAAATCTTGTTAATTTTATATGTCGACGTTAGAAAAACCTTTAAGCATAAGAAAAGTTAAAACGCCCGATACAGTTTGGAAATCAAGCTGAAATTAAAGCAGGGTGCAAATTTGTATAACTATTGACGTTATTAAATTAGCAAATAAGCATAAAAAGGCCGATGAAGTGTATGAAGCAAAAGCACTATTTCATCTTATCCCATTCATCAATAAGAAATCATCGCAAAGTTTTATTTTCTTAAGAAAATCTTTTTATAAATGTTATAAAATATGTTTTAATTTTAATTACAATTAGTATAGTAGTTTATAAGTTAAAATTTTTAACTTTTTCAAATCTTTAAAAATTTGCAAGATCTATAGGTTTTAAAGCTTCAAACCACTTACCCCTCATCGCTGTGGATTCGAATCCCGACAGGGACTTTGGATTTATCCATGTGAGGAAGCTATGCAGCACGCTTACGGAACGTCGGTGGTTCTACTCAGGTGCCAGTTTGTGACAGAAATAATGCACGAAAGGGCACTTGAAGCCTTCCTCCATCAGTAAAGCTAGAACGTCGCCATATGACCTACACTGTATCGTTGTGACGTAAAACCGAATCAATCAAACAAACAAGAAATATCTTGAACATTTCTATATTAAACTATACAAAAACGATAAATATTTAATAATCATGTAAATCTGAAACTTTGAAGTGCAAAAAAAGATATTTTGCGTACATGGAAACTCCCGTATATCGTACAATATTGGTTGACTTATTTTGTTTAAATTATTGATTATTAATCACATTATGCCCCCGACATGCTACTAAGTTTATTTCTTATTTCTCAAAGACTTTTAATGTTTTTTTTGTTTTGTTTTTTTTGTGCTTTTGGTAACGTAACATTGTAGTGATTAAGTAGTTTGATATGACAGTCAAAGTACACCTTTGTGTTATATTTTACTACATATGCGACATATATAGTTACTGCAAGTTATAAGTTAGCGCTTATTTTGTAGTTGTCTAACATATAACATGCTCTTAACACATTGACAACCTCATCTTTTATTGTTTCCGTAGAGGTTTACAGATATGACATTCATATTTTGTTCAAAGTTAATGTAGCATTAATTCGAATGTAGATAACAAACAGAACAAAAAAACAAGCCTTTACGCTACGAATTAAACTTTGTCAAAAGATAGCACAAAAGAATGATTTTTAATTTATGTCTGGGTATATCTCTTTATTATCGTTTGCGCATCTTTTTAACTGGTCTAGTTTATAATTGTAAAAAACTCAAATGATATGTTTAGATTTGTCGTTTTCAGTGGAGTTCCTTAATGTTAAGTTTAAAAAATATTGTATAGAATTATTTTAAATACGGTTCAGCAATGATTAGCAAGTAGGAATATAGACATAATTCAAATTATCAATTTAACTCCACTAAGTTTTGTCAAACCAATTAATCGTCAATAGTATGTGCAAATAACGTTTCCAATGTATTCGGGTCTGTAAATTGCGTTAAAATTTATTTTGTTTACTGACCTTACTTAAATAGAAGATCATACAAGCGTATACTTCTCTGTTTTAATAGTTTTTTAAAAACATATATTGCTAAAGGACTGCATAGTTATACCGAATCATTTAGATCATCTATTCATATGTGTCGACTTGTTTTTTTCGTTAAGCATCATTAAATATATTTTGATGGAATATTGCTATCTATTATAAGTAATTAATCACTCATAAATCAAATTGTGGTATTTAACGTACACACTAAATGTTTGTTGTTTTGGTTTTTTACAACAGGATCAGATAAGGTAAAAACATTTTTGTTTTGAATATTACAACTCCGGATTAATCACTCACCCACACCCTTGCACGATCTACCTGTTATTTGACGCGCTATTTGCATGTTATAATTAAGCTCGCTAAAAAACTTAAACTTTGGTCTTGTATGATATTCATTCAAGGCCTCAAGTATTTACGAAATAGCTTGGTGTCTTTTCAGATCTATCGACTGATCTTATATGTAGAGCAAACCTATCATTTATGTTTTACTAAAACACATGTTCATACTTGTTCAATTTCTTAGTTACCCAATGATTCGACGTTTGATATACAGCAATGTCACGTGGTAGTTTTACATTCAATTTGTTCTGAAATCCATTATGGATAATCAATATAATCAATAAGGTGTATCAAAACATGCTAATCTAAAGTTTAAAATACATTTTTCATAATCCATTACATTGGAGATATGTCAAGATGGCCGAAGAAGGTCCGGGATAAACATTTTAACACATAAGAACAGCTTGCGGTATGTTTTAATTGATTATGTCTCATTAATATGCACATTTTGTGATTATGAGAATGTAGATGTCATGTGCATACTAGATAGCTTATTATATTAAATGTTTGATTGTTTATGATCAAAGAAGGAAGTGACAAAAATGCTATTATCTATTAATATCTATTTGGTAAAATAGTGAAAAATGACCCAATGCATGGCATTATAAACGGAATATATTATATATTTTAGATTTTAAGGTAGATACGTTGACAACTGAATTAACCTTCTTATGTAGACTTGATATGATTTTTTACTTATTCATTTTCGCGGGTCTGCTAACACTTTGACTGTGTTGGCATACGGCTTGGTTTGCCTTAGGCGGCTTTAATTTATACCGGCTGTATGTTTTATCGTGTGATGGTTTGGTTGATAAACATTTGTTTATGACATTATACTGGTGAATATCAAATCATATTCAAATACTTACTAGTCAATTTTGGTTTAGTATTAAAAAGTATTAATGTTAGAAAATATTAATTGTTAGAATTGTTTATATCATTTATTGATATAATTAAGTCAGTTGATGTCTTTGAATGAGTAGACCTAATTTTTCAATTATCATACAAATTCACATACATTGATGATTGCTTTTATTAAATATTTATCGGGAGGATATTTGATGTAAATATTTTTCATGAAGATTAAGTCTACCTCTGTTCACAATTGAAAAAAAACGAACACTGTACTTTCAAAGGGTATTCTGAGTAGTTACAAGAATTTAAACTTAATAATTTATGCTAAGAGAGATTCTACTTATTTATAATTGAAGAGGACAATTCGTTACATATCAACATCTTCGGAGCAAAACCCTTTGGGAGACAACGATTAAGTTGTTATTGAGAGGTGTTGCTCTACAAACGTTAATAAAATTGAAACGAAATTTACTTTGGGAAGGTTAGAAATTGTTGTTGGAAAGAAGTGTTTTCTTTACAGTAGGCCATTCTGCAAACGTTACAAAGTATTTTTAATTTGTCATCGAATATTTTACTACTTTTGCATACATACCATTGATAATTTTAAGTATCTTCAAATTCCTTATTATGTTAAACTGTTTTATCAAATTAAAATTTGACTGATTTTTCCTATTTATTTCCCCTTGAAAGTTTAACTTTCTTGTTAACATATCGGCCAATAGAGGTTTTATATAGCTTCTTTATTATCTTAAAATGGTGATGTTTACTTACTGTATCAAAATGTATTTTATTATTGAATACTTACCACAAATTAAGAACACCGTCATACCCTTTCTGTGTCAAGGTTTTATATCTAATTAACTATTCATTATTTAAAGTTATGTCATATCAATTCTTTCCTTTGTATAAAAATCATTCATGTATATTCGCGCAAGATGACTTATCAAAGAACGTTTTATCAAGATAATATCTTTCTTTTATAAATTAATCTCAGTTACCTCAATTCTAAATGAAAATTATAATTTGTTTTAAATATTTATTTTTCATGTCATTTAAAAGAATTCAATAATGAAAAGTTATTTATTTTCTTTAAATGCATTAATTTTCTGTGATATATTGAACTTTTTTTCAAATTATTATAACTGTTTAACTTGTCACTGTTTTACTTCGAACAAATATAGATATAAGTACAATGCATGTAATAAACTATAGTGTTTGATAACGTTTTTACAATATCTAATGCCACAAATTAGTTTTTACTTTTGAATAATTTATGTATTTTTGTTATTGATTTAACATGTTTTATTGACATGCATTCGACTGGTACAATCTCTTTGAGTCGCTAATCTAGATAATGAAGTTTCAGACATGGAACTTACATAGAATGTATATTTACCTACCGGCTCTTTTGTTAAAAGCGGTCTAGTAAATCACTTACCGATCGCTTAAGAGGTCTGCAAATATATACCGACCTGTTATTGTTCTATTGTTCTCTATACAATAGAAAATATGTGAAGTCGAGAAACGCGTGCATTACACAATATTTACCGTTAACAGATATCCCGTAAGAGAGAAATTTTGACAAAAAACGCTGCATTGTGCAAATTTATAGGGGATGGGGCTGGGGAGGGGAGGTAATGACCACTTCAAATAGGAAAAAGGGTCTATATATATTTCACCAAATTAATAGAAACAAGATATGTTTGTAAAACATGTATGCCCCCTATCGGCAGCCAATTTGTCATGTGATCAGGTTATTATGCATGACTTCTGACCCAGTGAACAAGCAATTAATAAGGGTTATCTAGTATCTACTGGTCATGACTAGTCACAAGGTAACAATTATTGTGACCCCATAGGTTGTGTGCAGCAATTAAAGTTATTAAAATCTTACCAAATAATATATACATAAATTTTATGAATCACATAGGCCTCATTAATGACAGCCAAGTTGTTATATAACATAAGATCTTCAAATGTGTATACCAAAATCACATAACATTATCAACCAAGGCAACTTGAGTTGATGAGTTATTGGTCAGAAACGGTTATTAAGTACAAGGTCACTATGACATTGACCCCTTGATCCCAAAATCAATAGGGGTCATCTACTGGTCATGACCAATCATCATACCAAGTTTGAAGTTCCTAGGCCTTAGGGTTCTTTAATTATTGATCGGAAACCATTTTTACCTACAAGGTAAATGTGACCTTGACCTTTGACCCCAAAATCAATAGGGGTCATCTGCTGGTCATGACCAATCATCATACCAAGTTTAAAATTCCTACGCCTAAGCGTTCTTTAGTTATTGATCAGAAATCGTTTTTACCTACAAGGTCAATGTGACCTTGACCTTTGACCCCTTGACCCCAATATCAATAGGGGTCATCTGCTCGTCATGACCAATAATCTTACCAAGTTTGAAGTTCCTACGCCTAAGCGTTCTTTAATTATTGATCGGAAACCGTTTTTACCTACAAGGTCAATGTGACCTTGACCTTTGACCCCTTGACCCTAAAATAAAAAGGGGTCATCTGCTGGTCATGACCAATCACCATACCAAGTTTGAAGTTCCTAAGCTTGAGGGTTCTTTAGTTATTGATCGGAAACTGTTTTTACATACAAGGTCAATGTGACCTTGACCTTTGACCCCTTGACCCAAAAATCAATAGGGGTCATCTGCTGGTCATGACTAATCACCATATCAAGTTTGAAGATCCTAGGCCTAAGCGTTCATAAGTTATTGATCGGAAACCGTTTTATCATACAAGGTCAATGTGACCTTGACCTCGACCCCTTGACTTCAAAATCAATAGGGGTCATTTACTGGTCATGACCAATCACCATACCAAGTTTTAAGTTCCTAGGTCTAAGGGTTCTTTAGTTATCACTCGGAAACCATTTGGTCGACGGACCGGACGGACCGACGGACGGGACGGACCGACAAGTGCAAAGCAATATACCCCCTCTTCTTCGAAGTGGGGGCATAATAAATTAGCGCATACGGCTGATATATATTCCAGATTATTTGTGAGAAAACGAACTGGCTACGTATACTTTTCTGGCGTTGAAGTTTGTGTTTCGCGATATTTACAAGTACAATAACGGACATTTAGCCTTTCTTTATTCTTTGCTTTTCTGTATACCTAACACATTTGCCGAACTATATAGCTTCATTCGACATTTATTTTCACAACTATGTCTGATTTTGCACAATCCTGTATTATTTTAACAATTCTGTATCATGGGATATATACGACGATTTTATTATTGGTGCATATCGAATCAAAGTCAACTTATGCTTAACTCGCTGAGTTCTAGTTTTAGTTTGTTTATCTTTTTTTGTTATATCAAAAGGTTTCTTTACAAAATGCATATGTTTAATTATAACTGCATAAAGTCATCAGTGTCCTTATGGAACATTAAAAAAATCTTGAAAGCTAAATATTGCCTGGCAATTGATATATCGCTGAATCGCCGATAATTCTTTACTGATATATCAGTACAAAAATCCTGATCGATGATACCTTTAGTTTTTTTGTCCCTGTAATTGAATTTTTAGGAACACATCATATTAACCCGGTATTTTGGACTTTGATTTGCAATCCAAGACCATAATTACTTATTTATATAAAATCTAACATAATCTTTTTGTTTTGTTTGTTTAGATATTGATAGAGTATCAGGATGGCACATCAACTTCAGTTAGAGAAGGAAAAATACAGGCAGTGGGTAAAAGCTGGTTTAGGACTTGGATATTTAAAGGAGGGACTGGTACCATTCTGTAATGACATAGCTGACCAACAACATAAGGATATCTTACAAAACATTCGGTCTACAAAATCACTAACATCAACTGTGACATGTGGGGGCTGTCGAGTTGAAACTCTCAAGCCAGACCATAAGCCAGTAGGGAATGCTAAAAATAGAGTTTGTCCTCTTGGGCAAGTAAAATGCAGCTGTTGCTTTAAGGGCAAAATTGCTTGTCCGAACAACATATGTGGCGCCATCTATGACTTTATTGTGCAGCATCATTCATCCTCACCACCTGCACCTAACTGGAAAAACACCGATGCTCAACAGTGGATGACAGACCCTTGGAGCATTTGTAAGTGTTTTATAAATGCTCCAGGGTACGAGGACAAGACATCAGCTGGGGAAACTGATTGTACTGGGTTATTAATCTTAATGATGAATAACCAGTATTTTCATAGCCACATTGGATGTGATGTCACAAAAGCAAACAACCTTTTTTTAAAGGTAAATCATTAATAAAATATACTTTACTTATCTTTTACCAGCTCTTTTTAATGTTTATGTTGTATATTCAGCATTTAAGTAAAAGAGAAAATAATATTTATACTCTCGCACAACGAAGTTGTAAGGGGGTATACCGGAATCAGATCGTCATCAACTCTTACATCCGGCCGTCGGTTTTTCCTAGTCTGCCCAATAACTCAAGATTCCTTTGACCCACAGTCTTTATATTTGACAGGAGGTTAGTCATGATAAATAGATGACCCTATTGATTTTGAGGTCAAAGGTCAAGGTCACAGGGGATTTAACTTCAATTAGTGTGTCCACTCTAATGCTTAAGAATGCCTGTCTAAAGTTAAATTGATTTTGACATTTTCACATTTGAAGCATAAACATTATTTTCTCATATATTCATCATAAAACACCCCAGGCAAAGTTGCATAAATTGGGGTATTCAAATCATGCAGTGGCAGTTTCAGTTTTGAGGTTAAAGGTAAAGGTCACTTTGATCTTTGCCACAAAAACATATAGAATACATAATTTACCAATGCAATGGCTTACTACATTCAGATTTGGTAGGGGAGTTGTCCTTGAGCTTTATTCTGACAAAGTGGTATGCGGGGGTATTCACGCCATGACAGTGGCAGTTCTAGTTTAACTAAGAAGTTTATGTAGTTATTCACCCCTTTAATGATTCACAACAAATGTATAAAAATCCACCAATCGTTTATTATAACAATTCACAAGGCTTGTGGTTAATATTTACTGTAATATATTACGGATGCTTCCGCTTCCGTTTTAGGAAGTAAACAAATAAAAATGTAAAAATAAAACTCGTCAATAAACCACTTTTATCAAGACTTGGAATTCTAGAAATGGATGTATGTGTAAATTGATGATTTCTACAATAAGATTGTTTATTTTTAACGGAAACTGAATTTTGCTTTTTGAAATGAACGTTTATAGACTTTTTCATATGTATAATGAATGGGTGGGATATCGCAGGTAAAAGAATTTACATGTACATCACACCTGGCAAAAATTTCGTCACGCATCACTTAACCGCTTGAATAAACTTACTGGACAGTTTATAATGGTCATTGGACTTAGTCATGAGTCAAAGGACAAGCGCGCGACATTCTTCAACTAATAGTGAAGGTGATACAAGTACACATACACTTGACACATCAATATTTGAAGACCCGAGTAATTCCCCTTGTACAGAAAAGAAGAAAAAGAAAAAACAAAAAAGTAAGAAACAAAAAACAATGGATGAATATATGGAAAAACAAGAAATTTCTGGAAACGAAATATTAGAAAAAAAGTTAGATTTGATAAATGAAAAATTGTGCAATGTTATCACGAAAAGTGATATATCTTTGATTAGAGAAATAGTAAAAGATACTATAAATGAAATGAAAGATCAATTTCTTAGTTCAATAGTTAAGAAAATTGAGGTAATCGAAGGTAGCGTGCATGATCGCGCAATTGAAATACAAAGAATCAATGAAGAAATGAAATCGAAAAAGAAAGATATTGATGAATTACACGAGAGAACAAACTATATACGCGACAAAATAAGACAGGAGGCAGAAGAACACGAAAAGATCACGAATGATATGGAGCAGTACAGTCGCAGGAACAATATAAGAATATTCGGTGTTCCGGACGACATAGATCGCCAAACTTCACAGCAGACAACTTCACAAGTTGTACAGTTATTAAATAAGCATTTGTCTGTGTCAATTACGGAGGAAAATATCGACATAGCGCACCGTCTGGGGAAGTTCAATGGAAAAAACAGACCGGTAATTGTGAAATTTGTGCGCAGGCAGGTGAAAAACGACATTATGCAAAACGTAAGTAAGCTGAAATCAACCGGGCTCTATATTAGCCACGATCTTACTTGGCTTAATCAGCAAGTTTTGTCATCGCTGCGTCTTAAAGACACAGAACGAGTAAAAAAATGTTGGTGCAACGATGGTATACTCTATGGTACATTTAAAGAAGAATCAAACGGAAGGTCTTTCTTAAAAACAAAGGAGGTGAAAGTTCGGGAATATAACTACTGGCTTAATTTACCCTGGCCTGAAAGGAAAACCAAGAAATGACACTCAACACTGAATGGAGATATTTGTGTTTGTTGGTGTGTTTTGTTTTAAATACATTTTGGAACAAGACTTGAAAACTTTCCTCTATCATAAATAACTTATCAATGTTTTTTTATGTGTTAATATAACGTTGTTTTTTGTGGGTTGTTTTTTAATTCATACAATGAAATATGTTTTTTTTTTCCTTAAGGTAAACTTGTTATGCTTTCGACTGCAAGAATACCTAATTTAAGGATAACACAATAGATTAATGAAATTCGTTTTTTTTCCTTTTACATCTTTAAGATATCTTGTTTCTATTTCGAATATTTTTTCTTTGCAAGATTCTTAAGGATCAAGAAAATTGATTTTACTCTTCATTTGTGAATTGTCTTTATATATAACTATATATTTCATTTCTTTTGAGACTCTAAAACCGAGCCTTGATAAATGATTAACTATTGTTTTTCTGCAATTTTGAAGTTGATATTTTCTTTAAAGAAAAACAACAAACACATGTTAAAGTATGCCTATTTTGTTGTATTATGAACATACATATATACTTTTTGTTGTATTATGTACATATATATATATATATATATATATATATATATATATATATATATATATATATATATATATATATATATATATATATATATATATATATATATATATATATATATATATATATTACTTATGCGTTCGTGTATATAATGTTTTGTGTACCTAAGGATTTTTAATATTACCTCCTTTACAAATGCAACTAAACTGTATTTAATGTTAAAATCTTTAAGATGCAGTTTTTCAAAAAATCTTATTATACTCTTTGGCTATTAAGATATCATTTCTTTCTGTCATAAGTATACAAGTTAATTTCTTTTCTAACAACTACTAGCTTAATTTCAAAATGAGTATATATAAACTCAGTTTCATATAATATTAAGTATTGACGCTAATATATCAATTCCTTACAAATGCAATTTATCTGTATTTAATGGTAACATCTATTAAGTGCAGTTTTTCAAAAATAAATCTTTTTTTTTACTTTTGGCTATTAAGATATCATTTCTTCTGTCATTAAAATACAAGTATAAAAACATTTCTAGCAGTTACTTTCTAATTTCAAAATGACTATATATAAATATGAATAGACTGCAAAGTTTCTAATCATGTTAAGTATTGACGCCAATATATCAAAAGTGTAAGAAATATAAATGCTTCAATTTTTTATTTGTAGTAAAATGGTCTTGGTTAAAAGAGGTTTATTGTCAAACCTTTTTGAAATATTACTTCAAGTATTTTTTGTTGTGTATTCGTTTTTTGTATTGTATGTGAGACGCAATCTGTCATAATGTTAATGATGTTTTTGGTTAATATTTTAACTTATCTCTTTTATTTTTTCTGAATTACTTCAATATGGTTGAAAGTAATATAAATGTCTTATCTCTGAACTGTAGAGGTCTGAATGGGTCTAAAAAAGATCATCCGTTTTTCATTTTTTTAAACAAAAACAGTGTAACATTTATTGTCTTCAAGACACACATTTTACGTTAGATATGTACAAAAAGATATACTGTGAATGGAATAATGAGTGTATTTTAAGCCCTGGAACATGTAACTCCAGAGGGGTAGCGATTCTTTTTAATAATAACATTGACTACAAAATCCATAACAAATTTATTGACCCAATTGGAAATTTTATAGTATTAGACTTAACCATTGAAGGGCAGAAGATTACTCTAGTAAATTTATATGGCCCAAATACTGATAAACCCGAATTTTTTAATGAAATATTCAGTTTAATTGACAGGATAGAGAATGATTCATATATATTATGTGGTGATTACAATTTAGTTTTAGACCCATTAAAAGACTACTTTAACTATAAAAATATTAATAACAGTAAAGCTAGAGATACGGTTTTGATTAATATTGGTCAAAGAGATATGGTTGACCCGTTTAGAGAGTTTAATCCAACTTTAAGACGATATACATGGCGTAAACGCACGCCTCTTCAGCAAGCAAGACTAGATTTCTTCTTAATAACTTCAACTTTGTTCCACTGTGTAGAAAATGTTTCCATAACTACAAGCTACCAATCAGACCATTCCATTGTAATATTAAACTTAAAGTTAGACGACTTTAAACATGGCAAAGGCTTGTGGAAACACAACAATTCATTTTTAAAGGACATTAACTATTTAAATACTATAAACGAAAAAATTGACGAAATAAAAATACAATATGCATTACCAGTTTATAATTTTAACAACATTACTGAAATTCCAGATAATGAAATTCAATTTACAATAAATGATCAATTGTTTTTAGAAACTCTTTTAATGGAACTGCGAGGGAAATCTATATCATATAGTAGTTATGTAAAGAAGAAAACTAATTTAAACAAAGAAAATATCATTAAAGAAATAAATGATTTAGAAGCCGATTTAACTGAAGATAAAATGACGCACCTTCGGCACCTTCAAACAGAGCTTCATAACTTAAATGATTCGCAATTACAGGGCTATCTTATTCGTTCTAGAGTTAAGTGGATTCTTGAAGGTGAAAAACCTTCACAGTACTTTTGCAGCTTAGAGAAAAAAAAATACACTTCTAAAACTATTTATAAAATTCAAAAGGATGACGGAACAATTGTTAAAGAACAAACAGCAATTCTCGAAGAATTAGAAAAATATTATCAAAACCTATTTATGGCAAAAAAGAACACAATGAAAATGACGATTCCTTTGAAAATTTTATTTCAAATATAGAAGCACCTGTTTTAAGTCCAACAGAGTCAAATGCTTAAGAAGGTCAAATAAACTATCATGAAGCAACTTTAGTTTTACATAACATGAAAAATAATAAAAGTCCAGGATCTTCTGGTTTCAGCGCAGATTTTTACAAAGTTTTTTGGAAAAAGATAGGAGTTTTTGTCGTTAGAGCTATTAATAACGCATATGAATCAGGCAAACTTTCCATAACTCAAACACAGGGAATAATTACATGTATTCCTAAAGACAATAAACCAAAAGAATTTTTAAAAAATTGGAGACCCATAACTCTTTTAAATAAAGTTTATAAAATTGCTTCTGGAGTCATTGCAAATAGAATAAAAAAAACTTTAAACAAATAAATTAGCAAAGATCAAACCGGATTTATTCAGGGTAGATATATTGGAGAAAATTTAAGACTTATGTACGACATTATGCATTATACAGAAGAGAAAGATATCCCTGGTCTTCTTCTTTTAATTGATTTTGAAAAAAATTTGATTCTTTGTCCTGGTCATTCGTTCAAAAAACCTTGTCTTATTCTAATTTTGGAATTTCTATTAAATGATGGTTTAATATTTTTTATAAAGACGCACAGTCCGCTGTAAGTCAATGCGGATTCCTGTCAAATTCAAATTTTGTAACATTAAGCAGAGGCTGCAGACAGGGGGACCCGATTTCTTGTTACCTTTTTATTTTATGTGCTGAAATTCTCTCTCTTAAGATAAGAAACTGTAAAGAAATAAAAGGTATAAAGATAAATAATTTAGAACATAAATTATCTCAATTTGCGGATGATACAACTTTAATATTGGACGGGTCAAGCAATTCCTTAAATCAGGCACTTGATGTGTTATCGAAATTTGCTCATATATCTGGACTAAATGTAAACTTTGATAAAACAAAAGTAATTTGGATAGGAAAAAATAAATACTCATCAAATAGTATAAAAACACGATGGAAATTATCATGGAACCAACATATTTTCAAAATGCTGGGCATAATTTTTGATGTAAATTTGAAACAAATGATACATATAAACTATGAAGATAAATTAATTAAGATTCAAAATTTAATAAATCATTGGAAAAGGAGAATTCTCACTCCCATAGGAAAAATCGCAGTTATCAAAATGCTTTTAATTTCAATTTTAAACCATCTTTTTATAGCCCTACCATCACCACCTCAGAACATGATAAATAAACTTAACAATATGTTTTATGATTTTATATGGCAAGGAAATGTTAAAATAAAAAAATACTGTTATGGTTAAGGACTATTCAGAGGGAGGTTTAAAAATGTTAAACTTAAATGCTTTTATAATGGCTTTAAAGATAAGCTGGTTCAAAAGAATGATTAGCGATGCCTGTTGGAAAAACATTATCATAAATGAATTTGATATGCAAAAATTATTTCACTGTGGAAAACATTACATAGATAAAATTTCAAAAAGCATTTCAAACGTTTTTTGGAAGGACACTTTTAATGCTTTTTCTACATATATAGATAAGTATCCTATAAATAACGAATCTTTCGCAGAACTACCATTGTTTTATAACGATAAATTACTAATTGGCAATAAAAGTATATTTCTTTATTCATGGTTTAAAGCCGGTGTATATTATATCGGAGATATGTTTGATTCTTACGGTGCTTTTCTCTCATAAGAAGATTTTAATAATATATTCAGGCTTAATGCAAACTTTTTAATCTTTCATGGAATTAAAAAAATGATAAATGAAATGATGACAAAATTTAATTTTAGTATGAATGACGTAAAAAAACTTGTGGACCAAAATTGCCTCTTTATCTAAAAAACATAATTATTAACAATAAAGGATCAAAACAGACTTACAATTTATTGAATACTAATAACACACAACCATCAAGTAAAGCAACCTGGATGAAAAAGCTTGATCTTCATTTTGAGGAAAGTAAATGGAAAGAAATTTACGAAATGCCATTTAAAATAACAAAAGATTCTAGGATACAGTGGTTTCAAATTAGGATTATTCATAGAATAATTGGCACTAACTATTATTTACATAAAATTAAATATAACGATAATCCTCTTTGTACCTTTTGTAAAAATGAAAACGAAACTATCGAACATTTGTTTTGGCAATGTAGTTTTGTAAAGGACATCATTGATATCTATTTCAAAACAAAAAAGAATATTTTTCCGTCATTAACTGCAGACGAAATGATTTTTGGCTTAACAGATGAAAGTCCTTTATCAAAAACTAAAAATCTAATTTTAATTTACTTTAAGATGTATATTTATCAATGTAGAATGCAAAAGAGTATTCCCACAGTTTTTGGAGCTAAAAAATATATAACATATTGTTACAACATTGAAAAAGAGACTGCAATGATAAATAACAATGTTGAAACCTTTAATTCTGCGTGGAATTCTTATCTAATTTTCATTTATTCAGATTAACACAATATTTTTGTTTTCTTCTTCTTATAATTATTATTACTTTTATTATAATTATTATTACTATTATTATTATTATTCTCTACATATATGCAGACTTAAACTTTTAGGCTGTATTGACCAATACAAAAACTACACATCAAACTATTATATTTTTACCCCGCTTAAAATGGCTTTAGAGATAAGTAAATGACTGAAAAGATGAATAGATATGATCAATAACAATATCAAAAGCGCAGACTGCAGTGAGAGAGTGCAGATGAATGAGTGTAGTATGTAAAATGAATTATTTTTCTTTTATGATATGTTCTGTTTTTTACTTTGAATTCATTTATAGTTATATGTTTATATACCTTATATACCCATGCTGTAAATACAATGTTTATATTTGATCAATAAAAAAAAAAAAATATTTACTGTAAACATTGGTCCCCATTCCCAATGCAAACTTTGTCCTTTTTTTCCTAATTCCCCCAAAAAATCCCTATCCCGAAGTCGGTGATTTGAAAAAAGTTATCATCGTTTTGTATTTGGTGTGGACATTCTTGATGTTTCTGATATCTTTTAAATCCTTATCAGTTTCAGTAATATTTATTTGGCTTTTTTTAAAGAGTTTGCACATCTTATATGCTGGCATTTTTTTCCCAAATAAATAAATTTGCAATGAATATATACATGTAAGAAAAAAGGCCTGGTATAATTTATGATTGAGTCTTTTAGGAAGGTAAGTACATAAACATGTTTCAACAAAACAATTTTGATTGCTTAACAGTATATATATGCATAGATCAATATTGAACCTGTGTTTTCTATTCAATAGGTACGTCAGTATAGAAATAATATTTTCCACTCAAGCAATATGGAATTAGAAGAAAGTGAAGCAAATACTTACTTAGACGATATGATAGCAGTTCTACAAGATGGTAAGGAGCTGTTACAAAGATCAGATGCCCAGATAGCGGTGAAGAAACTTCAAGATGTAAGTGTAAATAATGAATAATGTCAGTTTAAAATCTTTATAGAGTTAACTCATAATGCTTTAAGATAACACACCTCTTAATTCATGACAACATTTTAGGAACAGACTTTGAAGCGATATAATATTGAAGTTATAGTCAAATTCAAAAAAATACTTTCCATACGTTGATTGATTAAGTCTCATAAAAATACATGTATACCTATAAATAATTAAACTATAATGAAAAGAGATCTTAGTTTGCAAGAACAGTGTAACTTACGAAATACTAAACTTCTAAATTCTGAACAATTCTCAGGGTCCCGAAATTTTATATAATTCATTCCTCTGAATTCGCAAAATGTAAATATCTTCCAATTAGCTGTGACCATAAATATATGACCCCTATAAGAACTTCAACATATCAAACATGTCTAAATCTTGATTTGAGTGTGGCAAAACTTAGAAGTATTATAAGAATTCCAGAAACTTCTAAAAATTCTTCATTTTGGTAACATCGGAGTAGATAAGAAAAGGCAAGGAAAAAGTAAAGTATGAGACTCAGGTAAGTATACCACACATCCTGACCTTGAAAACACAAAGAAAATATTCGAAATTTAAAAAACTGAGATTATTTTGAAATCAAGTTTGACCTTATATATAAATACAATGTACACTATAGCCTCATTATCAAGCTCATGTTGGGGTCTTATGTCTGAATTTGCAGTCCAGCTTTCGTTGTGTCCCCTAGTTAATCAAACGCCAATTACTTCCTGTCTTTGCCGCTCTATTTACAGTGCAGGATTTTGAATTGATTTTGTGCTTGTGTGGGTTATTTAATTCAGCGAGGTTTACATGTCGCAGATATGTTTGTGAATTTTAATTTATTAAAACTCACCACCGGTTGCCCATGTCACAGTTATGATATGAATTTGAGATTTTGGGAACAATTTGATGCCTGACTGATGAACAGGTAAAACAACAAAAAAGCGGATAAACGCTAACCTGGGCATGTTGTCACACCTGTGGCGCTCATAAATGTCCTAATTACAATTCTTTATTGTACCTGACTGTCAAATTGAACAAGCGTTATAGCGAGCCGTTAATCTAAATTTACTTACTTTTTCTTTTTTTGGGGGGCGTTTTTTTTTTTTGGAGTCAATGTCTATGAGCGCTATACTGAGATTAACAGTATGTCGGGGAGCGATATATCGAGGCTACAGTGTATGTTGTATAGAAGAGTAAATATTTACAACATATAGCTACTTTTGTATGAAAACATATGTAAAAAGCTGATCTTTTTAACCAGCTGAAGAAGAAGGACTTCATTATTAATACTGAAGGCTTTGAAGAAATTCTGAGGCATATCAAGGAAGAAATGAGAAAAGTTTTGAAATCAACAGAAAATGCTGCAACCCAATATGATGATCTGAAGAAGAAGCTAATAGACCTTGAAACCAACATGTCTGACCAAAAGAAGGGAAAACTGGAACATGAAAACGAACTTGCAGAACTTAAGAAAACAATTACAGAAGAAAAGAAGGAAAAACTTGAGATGGAAATTGAGCAAGACAAATTGAAAGAGAAACTTTCTGTTCTAGAGACACTTGTTTCAGAAAAAAAAGAGGTAAAACAAATTTCCTTCTGATTGTTAATGTAATGATGTATTTGTACACATGTATCTGCATCTTGGCATTACAAAAGATACAGATATGATTATTGTAAAGAAATTACTTTTAGCTCGACTATTCGATAAGAATAAGTAGAGCTATTGTAGTCACCCGAGCGTCGGCGTCTGCGTCGGCGTGACCACTTATGTTAAAGTTTTTGTAATAGCCCAAATATTTGCAAAGTCCATTGACATATGGCTTTGAAACTTTGCACACTTGTTCACTATCATGACCCCAACCTGTAGACAGGAGAAGATAACTGTATCAAGCATTTTGACAGAATTATGCCCCTTTTTCGACTTTGAATTTATGTTTAAAATTTTGTTATAGCTCAAATATTTTCAAAGTCCATTGACATATGGCTTTGAACCTTTGTACACTTGTTCACCATCATGACCGCAATATGTAGACAGGAGGTGGTAACTGTATCAAGCATTTGACAGAATTATGCCCCTTTTTTCCACTTAAAATTTACATTTAAGTTTGCATACCATATTCTATTGATAACTGGCTTTGAAACAAGTTGAAATTTAATAGTCTTCTTTGAGAGCATAAAAGGACTCTCTTCAAGGCCTATAACTTTTAAAGTTTAAATGTTAGCTGTTAGATTTGTTTGGTCATGGCGAAGGTCACACTTAAATGTTAAATATTTGCTGTGCTGGAACGTCATGAATGTTACGATTACAGGTTATATGTAAGCTGTGCTTGCTTCTGGTTTAGGTTACACTAAAAAATCTTAATTATTAGCTGTGCTTGCTAATGGTAGAAGTCGCAACTAATTATTAAATGATAGTTGTGCTTGCTTCTGGAGCATGTTATACTTTTAGTTTAGATTATAGCTGCGCTTGCTCATGTAGAAGATCACACTTAAAGGTTATATGTAAGCTGTACTTAGTCATGTTGAAGGTCACACTTAAAGGTTAAATATTAGATTACATCATTTCTGCTATGTTGATTCTTACCCCTTGAAGGATTTTCTTCAATCTTTGATCAGTTTTTACAATTCAGCACTGAGAAGACTTGACCTTTTGTTATAGAATAAGGTATAGAACTATAAACTTTGATTATCATGTTGATAATTCGGCTTTAAATATGTACCACTTAGAAACCCAATCTGAATTTTGAAACAAAATTATTTTTAAGTTTCAGGATTTAAAATCTCACCTGATGGCCTACTTAGCATATTAGTGATTAAATTGGGCAATTTTGGTGGTTATTATGCTAAAGTACATAGTTAATGTACAAAATCAAGTAAATACTCTGATGAATTTATATCTACATTTTAATAATATTTGTTGATTATTTTTGTACTATAATTTTATGGAGTAAAGTGAATGATTTGTTTTTGCAGAAGATGGCAAATATTAAGACAGGTCAAAGTCAGACAGATTATGATCAAGCCAAGTTAGGTGAGTGAATATTTGTTTTGATTGTGTATATACAAGTGTATAACATTTGTTAATTAAAAAACAAGAAAATATCATTGTTACTTTGTAATTTTTACAAGTTTATATAATAATAAGACTCTAAATTATATTTTATTATGAAATTCATGCAATTAACATTTCATTATACCCTACCACATTATGTGGTTGGGGCTATACTGGAATCACTTTGTGTCATTGCTTGGTCAGTCATTCCATATATTCGTTATATTAATATTATGTTGATATGTATTATTAGCTCACCAGAATCACAGGTTAATGGTGAGCTATTAGCTAGTACCAAAGGGGGTACTCCGGCGTCCGTCATCATGCGTCAACAATCATCTTCTTCTCTGAAAATACTGGGCAGATTTACTTCAAATTTGGTCTGTAGCATCCTTGTGACAGTCACACTTGAATTTGCTCATGTCATTTTAATTGGCTCCTTAAGGGGCCGCTAAAGCTAAAAATAGAAATACCTTTGAACGCCTATTTCTACAGAACTAATTGATGGATGTTTAACAGACATTGTCTGTAACATTCTTAGGTAATCTTTATTAAGTTTGCTCATATTAATTTGATTGGCCTCTTTTAGGGGATTCTAATGCTAAAAAATAGAAAAAAACCTTTAAACATCTTCTACAGAACTAATTGTTGGATGATCACCAAACTTTGTCTGTAGCATTCTTGGGTTGTCTTATATCAAGTTTGCTCATATTAATTTGATAAGCCCCTTTTAGGGGCCACTAAAGGTAAAAATATAAAAAAACCTTTAAACATTTTCTACAGAACTAATTAATAAATGATCACCAAACTTTGTCTGTAGCATTCTTAAGTAAAGTTTTATCAAGTTTGATCATATTAACTTGATTGGCCCCTTTTAGGGATCTCTAGAGCTAAAAATAGAAAAAAAACTTTAGACATTTTATTGAACCAATTGATGGATGATCACTAAACTTTGTCTGTAGCATTTTTAGGTAGTATTTTATCAAATTTGCTCATATTAATTTGATAAGCCCCTTTTAGAGGCAGCTAAATCTAAAAAAAAAATACATTTTAACGTGTATTTCTACTGAACTAATTGATGGATAATCACCAAACTTTGTCTGTATCATTCTTAGATACTCTTTTATAAAGTTTGCTCATATTAATACACTTAAACCAAAAATAGAAAAATCTTTGAACATCATTGCCTACTGAAATAATTGAAATATGATCACAAATGTTTGTAGCATTCTTAGGTATTCTTTTATCAAGTTTGGTCATATTAATTTGATTGACTCCAATTAAGCTAAAGCTTAAATGCCCCCAAGTCATGGGATTTCTTTATATTATTGTTTAAACTTATTCTATGCTCAAATTTAATATTAGAAAATAATTGACAATGAATAATTTTCAACACTGAAAAGCAGTTGTTTATTGTGGGCGACTCAGGGCCATCATGACCCTCTTGTTTATTAGCCCACCTGTCACAAAGTGACATGGTGAGCTTTTGTGATCACTTTTCGTCCGGCGTCCGTCCGTCTGTCCATCCATAAACTTTTACTTTAAACGACATCTCCTCATAAACCATTAAGCCAATTTTATCCAAACTTCACAGGAATGTTCCTTTGGTAATCAACTTTAAAAATTGTTCAAAGAATTAAATTCCAAGCAGAACATAGTTGCCATAGCAACCGAAAGAAAAATCTTAAAATATCTTCTTTTAGAAAACCGCAAGAGCTAGAGCTAAGATATTTGTCATGAAAATCACCTAGTCAGTGTCTACCAAGTTTGTTCAAAAAATGCCCCAGGGTCAAAATTGGCCCCGCCTACGGGGTCATTGATTTTCCTTATTTTTATATAGATTTTTTTTTTAAAAATCTTCTTTTAAAACCCCAAATACCTAGAGCTTAAATATTACGCATGAAACATCTTCTAGTGGATGTCTACAAAGTTTGTTCAAATAAATGCCCTGGGGTCAAAATTGGTCCTGCCCCGGGGGTCATTGATTTTCCTTATTTGTATATAGTAAAAACTTTGTTCAAGAAAAGTCCCTGGTTAAAAATTAGCATTGGCCCAGGGGCCTATATACAGGTTAGCGATTTCAGGGCCATCATAGCCCACTTGTATTTTTGTGTGACTGTAATGAATCATTTATTACAAGACATATAGTTTAATATATAGATTATACTTTTCTGCTTACACAAACGTTTGTTTTATTCAAGAGCCACTCTACCAAATGCATAGACTGCTACACCACCAAAAATTTCTTTAGAAAATAGTTTTCTTACTTACCTCATACCCCAATTCATTTTACAAATAGAAATGTAAATGTTTGTACTTTGCAAAAATAAAAAAGTTTAAAAATCCAATGCCCACTTGCCCTGCAAAGTTCAAAATTGGCTGGAAAGTTAGTCAAGATATTTCAGTTCATTTTCACACACAAAAAAAATCCATTCTTTTTTTTCCCTCCTTTCTGTAATTTTTGCTTTTTATATGCCCGAAAGAGCATATTATGTTAGACCCCCTGGTGTCCGTCTGTCTGTTTGTCCGTCCGTCCGTCCGTTAGCAATTTAGTTTCCGGAGCATAACTTAAGTTCCATTTGGCCCACAATGTTAAACTTCATAGGATGATTGTCCATATTGGGTAGAAGATCCCTATTGATTTTGGGGTCAAAAGGTCAAAGGTCAAGGTCACTATAACCTTTAAACTGAAAACAGTTTCCGGAGCATAACTTAAGTTTCATTTGACCCATAATGTTCAAACTTCATAGGATAATAGTCCATATTGGTTAGTAGACCCCTATTGATTTTGGGGTCAAAAGGTCAAAGGTCATGGTCACTATTACCTTGATACTAAAAACAGTTTCCGGAGCATAACTTAAGTTCCAATTGACCCACAATGTTCAAATTTCATAGGATGATTGTCCATATTGGGTAAAAGACCCCTAATGATTTTGGGGTCAACAGGTCAAAGGTCAAGATCAATATTACCTTAAAACTCTAAACAGTTTCTAGAACATAACTTAAGTTACATTCGACCCACAATGTTCAAACTTCATAGGATGATTTGCCATATTGGGAAGAAGACCCCTTTTGATTTTGGGGTAACAACGTCAAAGGTCAAGGTCACTATTACCTTGCTTCTGAAAACAGTTTCTTGAGCATAACTTAAGTTCCATGTGGCCCACAATGTTCAAACTTCATAAGATGATTGTCCATATTGTTTAGAAGACCCCTATTGATTTTGGGGTCAAAAAGGCAAATGTCAAGGTCACTTTTACCTTGATACTGAAACAGTTTCCGGAGCATAACTGAAGTTACATTTGGCCCACAATGTTGAAACTTTATAGGATGATTGTCCATATTGGGTACAAGACTCCTATTGATTTTGTGGTCAAAAGGTCAAGGGTCAAGGTCACTATATTCTTAAAACTTAAAACAGTTTCCAGAGCATAACATAAGTTCCATTTTGGCCCACAATATTCAAACTTCATAGGATGATTGTCAATATTAGGCAAAAGACCCCTATCGATTTTGGGGTCACTAGGTTTAAAGTCAAGGTCACAATTACCTTAAAACCAAAAACAGTTTCTGGAGCATAACGTTAGTTCCATTTGGCCCACTAGTTTCAAACTTCATAGGATGATTGTCCATATTGGGTAGAAGACCCATATTGATTTTGGGGTCACAAGGCCAAAGGTCAAAGTCAGTTTTACCTTAATACTGAAAACAGTTTCTAGAGCATAATTTCAGTTCCAATTGGCCTACAATATTCAAACTTCTTAGGATGATTGTCCATATAAGGTAGAAGACCCCTATTGATTTTGGGGTCACAAGGTCAAACGTTAAGGTCATTATTATTAACTTATTATAATAAGAATTAATCAACCTACAGCTGTAAATTTTTATAGCATGAACAGCTAATTCCCATGCCTTACAAATGCTTCATCCTTACTAAAAAACAAAACACTTTCGGGCGTATAATGCTCCGCCTAGCGGTGCTCTTGTTTACATATTTCATAGCATAACTGTTATTTTGATTAAAAAGTGATTAAAGAATGGAATTGACAAGGCTCCAGTATGAAAAGGAAAAAAGAAAGCTTAACTTGCCAGATGTACAGTAACAATGAATATTGGCCATTTGTGAAAGGTTCCATTTTTCGTTGGCACTTTTCCCATGTATTTGAGTTATTGCTTACCGCAATATCAGACCACACAGGGTAACACCCAACGCTGTGACGTTTCAGTGCCTCCTTTTTATAATTCATATCATATCAAGTACTGTGTAACCATTTGTATTTGTGGGCATGAAATTTCGTGGTTTTATCAAAACTGGCATTTTCTTGGGTTCTTAAATTCGTGAATGTTCATTTTCTTGTAAAAGAAATATTAGCAATGGAAAGTATTATTTTTCACTTAATCAACGCGCTGTTTTACTTACCGCGTGTATATGACACAGATCTTGTCAATAAAATTAATCCTTGCTTATGGGAGTAAGACAGTAACTGCCCAAACATGACAGCAATTAACACGGTTGTGTGACATGATATGCAGCTCCATTGGTAACACTGCCCCTATAATTCGCCAATGTAAACATCGCATAAATGATATGTCATAAGTCACTTTTTAACCAGCAATTAAAAAAGTTTACACCCTGAATCGGTCCAAAACTACACACTACCACTGTGTAAATTTATATGCATATAAATTAATACGAGTAAGTGCCTCAATACTGTTAGATATGTATGTGTGCATCTAGTGAAAATACGGCAGCTTCTTTGATATTTTCAGAATAGCAGTCACACAAATACATATTGAAATTTACTATAATGGATCATATAAACAATAGTCGTGTAAAGTTTTATTGGCTCTAATTAATGCACTGGGGTTTTCCATATTTACTGTATTATGTCACGTATTTTGGCTAACACAATCAAGTAGCCTACAACGATCAAGAAGTCCTCCTGATGACATTTGTGGCAGCAAACTGAAGACATACAATTGATTATTTTTCAAGTTTCTTAAATATTGCAACACTAAACTATTTATGGATTTACTTTGTCACTGACCTTATTATCAGTATACATTCATACCACAAAAATCGGCCGGAAAAGCGCTGACTCATGTTGTGATATATGGAACAGAGACATGGTAAGAAGTATATGTTGAGATAAAATTTCGTCGGGACTTAAATTCGTGGCTTGACCTATCCATGAAAACCAAGAAAATTTGTGCCCCACGAATAATAATTATTTCACAGTATTATGAAAAGAACACAATAAAAAGAATGGCGTCCAATTCTTGTCCGTAGCATATCTCCTACACCCATGGAGGAATTTTAATGAAACTTAATGGAAATGTTAACCATTATGTGAATTTGTGTCTTGTGCATGAAACAGGCCTCTAGGTCAAAGGTCAATGTCACACTAAGAGGTCGTTGAAAAAAGTTTGTCCAGAGCAAAACTTCCTACATGCATAGAGGGATTTCAATATAACTTGGCACTAATGTGAGTCAGAGTGTTGCGCACAAAATTTAGGTCGCAGCGGCTAAGGTCAAGGTCACATATAGGGGTTTAAGTTCAGGAAAAAAAACATGTCTTAATGTACAGATATTTTCTAGATATTGTCCAGAGCATACCATCTCCTAAATGCATGTACATGTATAAACACTTCTGTCGAAAGTTTCTGTGGTTATTGCGACAATTTTGCCCTTGCTTGGCAGGTGTTTTTGCAGTGCCTGTCCCTTGTCATAAACTGTCATAGTCTGTTTAATGTTTGCTGACTGGCTGATTGATCTTTATAATTCAAGGAGGCCATCAGTGATGTATTCATTTATTTCTGTATCATTAATTCATTGATTTGTCCTTAACAATTTGATGTCATATAATCATTTAAATTACAGAATGGCGAGAAAAGCTGATTGAAAAGTATCAAAAAACCCTGCTGCAAGTTCCTTCAACACCTTTACAACCAAAAAGTGAAAAATGTAGCTTTAATGAAATTTATATTAGGCCCAAAATAATGAGGGAAATAAAAGGAGAAAAGGGGGAGACAAATGAGGTGGAGGTTAAAACAATGTCAGAAATATTCACAAAGGAGGGAGTCCCCAAAAAATCTGTATATGTTCTAGGAGATGCAGGGTCAGGAAAAACTAGTTTTTGTAAATATCTGGTCAACTGTTGGTGTTTGGCACACAGTGAGGAACATAAAGCCAACAATGAAGATGGAGATGGCAATGATAAACCTGAAGGGTACAATGAAAAACATGTAGATGACGGTAAAAAACATGGAGCTTGCAATGAAAATGAAGATGGCAGTAGTAAACCTGAAGGTGACAGTGAAAAACATGAAGGTGACAATGAAAATCAAGGAGGTGTCAATGGAAATGAAAGTTGCACTGAGCAACAAGGAGGTGATAATGAAGGACATGAAAAACATGGAGCTGGAAGTGTCGATGAAAATGAAGATGGCAAAGAGAAACACAGTGGTGATTTTGAAGAACATGAAAAAATGGGAAGTGACATTGTAAATAAAGAGGTAAAGGGGACACATAGTGGAGACATTGGAAACGAAGAGGGCAGTAAGACACATCAAGATGTTAATGAGAAACGAGGCAATGAAAAACATGTTGGTGACATAAAGAAAAATGGAAGTGATAGTGATGACATTCAAGATAACAACGATGACTTAGTACACTCCGAATCCCGCAATGATGACTCTAATGGTGACCCAATGCTTTCAGAATCTGACATTTACACTGATGATATCTTAACAGGCTTTAAATTTGATAGTGATGGCTCTGTTGATAGATTAAATGACACCGAATCCCATAGTTACGACTCTGATGGTGACTTAATACACTCTGAATCCTATTGTGATGACTCTGAATATGATAGCAAAAATTATGAACTGAAATTCAATGGTGTAAAAGAGATGAAGAAATTTGATTTTGTATTTTACATCCCTCTTAGACAGTTTAGACAGTATCAAAACATTGACACTATTGATGAAATGCTTCAAAAACGTTATCAAATGAAAATGTTAAACACACTTCTTGAAGAGGAATCCTCTAGAGTTATGATTTTGCTTGATGGCTTAGATGAATGGTCCTCTGAAAATGTCCCAGAACATAGCATCTTTAAGGAGTACACAATAGTAACTACTTCACGTCCATGGAAATTTCATACACTGAGATCAAGTGATGTGGAGATTGAACTGTTACTGAAACTGAAAGGGTTTGATCTTAGATGTGAAAGGGAAATGGTAAATAGGACAGTCTCACAATTAAATGTAAATAGACATGCTAATAAACAAGCCAGAGATTGTAGGAAAAAGCTGAATCAGAAGTCTCTGGGAAGTTTAAAACAGATACCAATTATGCTACAACAACTGATATGTCTATGGTTTGATGGTAAACTTGATAAAACCTCAAGATGTGCCATCTACACCGGTATGTTAGAATTATTCTTCACCTGGAACGACATGAAAACTACAGGAACAAGTACTCGACTCATGAAGGGGACCCAGAAAGTAGATCTTCCTAAATATATAGCCGATAAAACCAAATTAAGATTTAACGGCCATTTCATTTATGAAGTGTCACAGTTGGCTTATGAGTCACTATTTAATTGTCCGAAGGAAAAATCGTTGACATTTGACATTTGTATGTTTGATGATCTTGAAATATCAGATGAAGTAAGAGAAAATTGCTTGAAACTTGGAATAATGACAGAAGATGAAGGTCCAAGTTTATCTGTATCAGAACCACCAAGCTCATTGTTCTCTTTCATTCACAAATCAATGCAAGAATTTCTGGCTGCAGTGTATATTGGTATCACATTCAATGCAAAAATTGGTTCGTCAGATAGTACAGGAAATGTTGAACTAGCCAAGAAGTTTATTAATGAAGTTTTTCAGACATGTTTAACAGTAAATGACATATTAGAGCAGTCAAATGTTATCATTATGCTATCTGGTCTTGAACCTAGATTAGCAACACATATTTCAAAATACATACATGATACTGCGTCGGAAGACTCTCGTGTTCAGGAATACAGGAGAACAATAAATAGTAAAAGTACAATTTTTTATAGGGATTATGATCGTTTTACAGATAATCAGGAGGACCATCGTTTTATAACTGATATTCAAAAGCTTATGTTTGACTCAATGGAAGAACTAAATGCAGCATGTATTATAGGAAGTAATACTGTATTTTATATAAGAGATTTGGTCATTGATAGTTGGGATCAGTCTTTCGATATTGTTTGTTCAGGTATTGATCAGCGTCAAATTGTTCCTGACTCTGTTCTGTCTATTAATTTAGTTCACATCATCCCATTTAATTTTAAATTTAAAAAATATTTACCAATGTTTCATCATCTTGAAAAAATTGCAATTACAAATGAATCTAAATTGGAAAGATGTATAAGAACACAAAGTGATAGTACACAGAGTAATAAACAGATGATTGATGAGATAAACAATTGTGTTTCTGAGACAATTAATGTAAATACTTTAACATTAAAATCTCTGTGTCTTGATAGTGGCTCTTACTATGACGAGCATTACCCAGTGTGTAAAAAAGTTGTTAGTAACCTACCTAGTATGATCAATCTTGTAGCAATAAGTATGGATGCTATAACAATGAGTCATAATGATTCTACTACATTTTGTAATTTTCTTGAGACAACCAGTCATCTTGAACAAATAAATCTTTTTTATGTTAAATGTGAGTGTATGAAGCGGCATGATGTAAATTTATCAAAACATCAACAACTTCAGTACCTCTATTTGTATAATGCTGTTAGTGTGATAGATGCTGATACTACAAACCTTGAAATATTTAATTTTGATGAATCGAAAAATAGTGATTATGAGAAAATATTTGATATTATTAGAAAATCTAACAAATTAAAAGAACTTGTATTGGAAGGAGATTATTACAATAAATCTCAATTATATCATACCAACATATCAAAGAGACTAGTCACAGTATTACCATTGTTAAATAATCTCAGAAAGCTTGAGTTACGGTTTTGTAGGTTAACTGACAATATAATACAGTTACCTTTAGAGATGAAGAGTTTAAAGTACATTAAGCTTCATGGTGTAATAATATGTTTGACAACATGGCAGAAGTTTGTTGAGAGTCTTCCTGCTATACCTCATACTGTAGATGTGTATGTATTTAGCTGTAATATAACAGAAGATGGTGAGGAGTTTAATGATGATATGTCATTTATGACTTTTGATGAAAGACGTGGAAGAAAAACGGGAAATGCTATACAGTGTGTAAAAGATAAGAATCAGTTATTTCATGTAAAACTTGTTGATGGTCTTTGGTTTGAGTTTTCAACAAAAAAGTGATATAGGATACATGTAGTTACATAGTGTTTGAACTAAATTTTTGCCTGTTAAAACAGATGATCAATGTGTTTTTGTTTTGCTTTGTTTATTCAGCAAAAAATGATTTAATTTTAACATAGAGGATACATGCAATGAAATGTACAACAAAAAAGTGATAAAGTATCCATTTAGTTACAAAGTGTTTGAAATTAATTTTTTTGATTTTTTTAATCTTTTACTTTTTTAACATAGTGAGATAGAATGCATGCACTTAACATAGTGTTCAGACTAAAAATGGTCATATTTCACACAATAAATTTATTTTGTTTAATAAAGTGATCTAATATTGTAGTAAACAATCATCATAAACAGTACATTAAATACTATTTTCGGGTCAATGTAACAAAATGTATTTATAATATTGAAATTGAAGAAAATAATATTCAAATTGCGTTTATAAATAAGTAAATGAAAGAAATGCAGTGAAATATAATAAATATATTGGTCTTAATAAAGGTAAAGGTTATTTTTTTAAAGATCAGTTATAGATTTTGAAAAAAAATATAACTGATTTGAAAAAAGTAATGATCTTATTTTGAATTATACATAAATAGATATGCAAATAAAGAATTAAATTGACTAATGAATAAGTAAATTTAATGGAAATATCATACCACAAATGTTTAATGTACAAGGTTAGAAGAAGTAACAGATTAATATAATTTTCAAATACCAGTTATATGATATAATATATGACAGGATAAGGGAATGGTATATGTAAATACCAGTTATATGATAAATATGTCAAGAGAATGGTATATATCAATACAAGTTATATGATATATAAGAAAAGTGAATGGTATATATTAATACCAGTTATTTGATATATAGGAAAAGTGAATGGTTATATTTTAATACCAGTTATTTGATATATAGGACAATGGAATGGTATATATCAATACCAATTATCAGATATAAAGTAAAATGGAATGGAATATGATATATAGGAGAAGGAGAATACCAGTAATATACTATAAAGGACAAAGGAACAGTATATTTTTTAACCTGTGATATGATATATAGGACTATATGCTATAGAGGAATAGTAAATTTTATATATAAATACCTAATGGATGATATATAGGACAAGTAATTGGTATACATAATTTTTCCATTGAGGTGAGGACCATTAACTTATGATATTTTACTGATTCCTTCTTTCATTGTTTTTATATTGTAAAGATTGGAAAAAGTGAGAAAAAATGAAATTATAAAAAACGATAAATATTTACTTTATTTTCTTGACTTTTTTACATGATGTGACAAGAGTTATGTTCTTAAGGTTCCGTACATCATAAGCACTCGCATTTTTTCAAAAAAGTAGTAACCATTTTAGCTCGACTATTTAAAGAATAGCGAGAACAAAATCATTTACCCAGAATAGCTAGAGCTATATAGTACTTAATCAGGTGATGTATTGGTGTTAAACTTATGTTATGTTTATGCCTACAAGTTGGTATCTAAAGAACTTCTCTTTGATTATCTTACATTAACTCAAGTCCAATAACACTGATTTTTTTCATATTAAAGCCCAATTTTGGACTTAGAAATTATTGGTTAAGTTTTTGCATGTAAGCTGTTTCTTCATAACTATTGAGGGGTGGATTAGAACTTCACACATATATGAGTGTGATAGAAAGTCACTGTCTGAGGACCATGGATTATAACTCAGATAATTGACAAAATCATTACCCTTTTTGAAGTTAGAAAATTCTGCAATATCCATCACTGTTGATAGTCGAGCACATTGTGCTGTCAACAGCTCCTGTTAGTCAAAATGATATAAAAAGTGTTTAAATGTTGATAGCTTAAGTCCGTACTTAATCATTATTGATTTTCACTTTTATTCTGAGTAATTTTCGTTAGTATCATTTTTTCTGTTATAAGTACACAAATTGATCAGTTTTTATTCTTCTAGATTTTTGGACCCCAATGGAGCTTTTTTAAGTGAACTTTAAATTGTGAAGATAAAGCTAATGAAAGTATAAACATTCCTAAATGTAAATTTTGATGTACTAGTATATATATAATGGTTGAAATTCATTATAACTTTATACAATGGTCAACCACATTAAGAGGAAGTGCAGAGCACAAGAACCATAACTCCATCTTCACTAGTTACAGTGTTATTGCCCATTGTTACTTTTTCTTGTCCGGAGCATAACTTATAAAGTTCTGGTTGGAATTCAAAACAACTTCATACAATGGTCAAGCACAATATGAGAAAGTGCAGTGCACAAGAACCATAACTCTGTCCATAGTAATGATAGAGTTATTGCCCTTTGTTACTTTTCCATTGCTTTTTTCTTGTCCAGAGCATAACTTGAAAACTACTAGTTGGTATTCAATACAACTTCATACAATGGCCAATTATTTTGAGAGAACAAAAATCATAACTCTTTCTTGACTCATTTAAGAGTTTTTGCCCTTTGTTACTTTTTATTTTCCAGTGTATGAAATGAAAATTAATGGTTGGAATTCAAAGAAACTTCATAAAATGGTCAAGGGCAGTGAGATGAAGTGCAGTGCACAAGAACCATAACTCTATTTTTACTAATTACAGTTATTGCCCATTGTTTTTTGTGTTTGTTTTTTTTGTCCAGTGCTTAACTTGAAAACTAGTAGTTGGAATTCAATATAACCTTATGCAATGGTCAAGCGCAATGAGAGAAAGTGCAGAGTACAATAATCATGATTTCATCTTTAGTATTTGTAAAGTTATTGCCCTTTGTTCCTTTTCCTTGTCAGGTGCATAACTTACAAACTAATGTTTACAATTCAGTGAAACTTCATTCAATGGTCAAGTGCAATGAGAGGAAGTGTAGTGCTTAAGAAGTGTAACTCTTTTGGACTTATTACATAGTAATTCAATAAAACTTCATTAATGGTTAACCGCATTGGAAAAGGAAATGCAACATACAAGAACTACAACTATCTTTAATAACCCACAATCAAACATCTATTTCAGTTCTTTTGCAAGGTATTGTGTTACTGGTAACTTCCTCATTTCCGAAGCAGTCTTGCAGGGGTATTAATCATATTTAGTGATAGTTCTAGTTTCTTTTCAAACTCATTTTTTGTAAGGTGTTTAGAATATCACATGTTGTAAATCTTTTATTACAACATTATAAAACCCATGTTTGCCCTTTTTAACAAAAAAAAATATTCATTTCTGAGAAGTAATGTGCCTTTAATCTTTGAATGTATATTATAGGGTAAATTCATTTATACTAGGTATGATAACATGAAAATCATGTTATGAATTGTTTACTAGGTATTTGAATTTATGTGTATTTTATGCTTATATTTGTAATCCTCATGATGACAAAACTATATTGGCCAAGGTTTATGCTTAAACAATTCTATATGAAGTTAAGATAAGTTCATGCTGGAATATGTCAATTGTACATATGCTTATATATTAAACATGACTGTTTAAAACTTGAAATGTTCATTGAAAACAATATTCAGCTATTTTGTTAGCATCAATAAAAACTTGTCTGAGAGAACTAAACAATCGTGAAACTTTTTGAAACAATTCTATTCATTTTATTTAGAACTTTTTAAGTTTATTATAAGTAGCTGGTTTTATTGAAGAATTATGAGAAGATATCAGGCAGTGGTTGACCAACATTTTGTATAATAAATAACATGTCTAGAACATTATGTATTTTATAAGGTTAAACAATTTAAATTCAGAATGGAATTTATCCAACAATAGTGACATGTATATCAGTATAGAGAAATGTTAACAAAATGAAGGCAATATATAACATTTAGATCTGGTCATATAACCGTTATGAGAGCATTGTTATTCTGCTGGTTTTTTTATAAACGTAATATTACTTATTTACTGTAAGAAATGAAAATATATTTGTTTGATAGGTTAGCATATATGTGTGACTATCATAATAAAGAATTGTACAGAATTGACGAGTGTATCATTTAATTTCCCCTCTCTTACAGAACTAGTTGAGAGTATAAAACTTGTTGAAAATTTACCAATTCACAATTCGTCTGGCGTCTGTTCTTAAACTTTTATTTTAAACAAAATCTCATAAACCGCTAAGCCAATTTCATCTATACTTCACAGGAATCTTCCTTTGGTGTCACCTTTAAAAATAGATCAGATACTTTAATTCCATGCAGAACTCCCAGGTTGCAATGGCAACTGAAAGAAAAAGTTAAAAAATATTCTTTTAAAGAATCCAAATGGCTAGAGCTTAGATATTAAGCATGAAACATCATCTAATGAGTGTCTATCAAGTCTGTTCAAATAAAATTCCCGGCGTCAAAATTGGCACGCCCCCGGGGGGGGAATCATTGATCTTCATTATATGTATATAGTAAAACCTTAAGAAATTCTTCTTAAAAACCCTAAGGTCCTAGAGCTTATATATTAAGCATGAACATTCTTAAAATGGGTGTCTACCAAGTTTGTTTAAATAAAAGCCCTAGGGAACAAAATTGGCCCCACTCTGGGGGATGATTGATTTTCCTTATATGTAAATTTTAAAAATCAAAAATTGCTAGAGTCTAGAGCTTAGATATTAAGCATGAAACATCTTCTAGTGAGTGTCTACCATCTTTGTTCAAATAAAAGCCGAGGGTTAAAATTTCCCTCACCCAAGGGGGTCGTTGATTTTCATTATATGTACAGATCTTTTGGCAACCAGTAAAGTTTTTACACATGCACTATTTCAAATCCAAATATGAACTTTGTTATATCACTTTAAGATTCATATTTTATATCTACTTTTGTTTATAGTTAACAATATTACTTATTCCTTGTCGTGGAGAGTTTCTATATTCAGGTGAGCCATTTCAGATCCATCATGGCCCTCTTGCCTTATTAAGCAAAGACCTAGCTGTCATTAAATAAATAAATCTATTTAGAATATATGCACTGTACTCGTGTTAGAATGCAATGTGGCCGAGTGGTTAACAGGACGGACTATTCA